GACGGTTTGAGGAGTGGTTGAGGGAGGTCACCGGGGTGTTAGTAATTAATCAATCATCTCTTATCTGTTTTGGGCAGTTGGGCAGTTAAAATGGATACTGAAATAATTAACAGTAAAACGAAGAAGCAAAAAGGAGGAGGAAAGTTTGGTCGCATTGAAAAAAAGAGGATTTAGTTTGCATAATTTTCCTTCCTTTATTTGATCTGCTGCTAGTGTTGCACTGCTAATTTGTATATTCCTTTTGTATAACCATATGTCTGAATCAGGTCAAGTTATCTCATGAATTTAATTTAACCTTTAAATCAACAAAAAACTATAGTTTTGAGCTGATTTACATGAGTTTCCCAAAATTTCGACTTGCAGTATGCAGTCGAGATGTTGCAGTCCACTAAACATACAACAAGAAGAATATTTCAACGTGCAATAATTTAATCAAAATTGAAGAAACTTTATTCCTATCACTCTCAAATAAATATATTACAAAATTCCTGCACTCAAATCTCATAAATAATATATATTTTCATGTACAATTTACAGCTTGGATAAACTATCTGTAAACTAAGGAAACCTCTCTACTTGATTATATACCATTCCCTCTTCTGGAAAAATATCTATATACATTCAAAAAGATACTTTTTCAAACAAAGTATAGGAAATGGGTATAAAACCCAACTATGAAGCGTAAAAATGGTTCTTTTTTTTCAAGAGGATTGTGGCATATTCAAAACCAAAAATTCACTTATCAATTTCATTCTTGACCCCTTGGGACACTGAGATAAACTGATTTAAAACCATCTTGAGATTTTCATCAAATTTGAAAAAAAGTTGTTGAAAGAGACCTAAAAAAAATGATAATGACAGCATTATGTGATTCTTTGTTCAAACTGACCCAATGCTTAACACTTTAGCTCCCAAGAGTGACCAAGACAGAATTTCTCCTTAGAGTGACAACACAGTATCAAGCAGACAAGTGATGAGAATAAAAAAAAACATATCAATTACAGGAAAATCTGTGTATCAAATACCAACTTCTCCTAACTCAAATTATTAGAATTGTGTGGCAGATTGTAATGAGAATTACTAACAAGATCTTAGGGGGTGAAAGGTTTAAGTGACAAGAAATTTCGGTAGAAATTGTTTTACTTAATAGACTTACAGAACAAGGTCACCTAAGTCTTCCCTACTAAGAATACCCAAAATAATTTTGACTCAATACTTTTCATCATCTTCTGATTGATGTAAATTTTATCATATCACCCAATTTCATTTTCATAATCATGACTTAACTGCTTATTGTAACAAAATGACAATAGACAATCAGAGCCTGCCCAGTCTCCTTCAAACCCAAACCCTGGCTATCTAAGACTATAACAGAGCTACTGAATGAGTTGTAACAAAAGTCAACTCAGCAAAATCACAGCTTAAAAAAAACCTCACCAGATATGATATACAAATGCCTTACTTTAATAATGCTTTTAAGATCAACCTGTAGAAGATTTTCTCCTTCAGGATGAATGATAAAATCACCACTCCTATCACCAATATCTGAGAAAAAAGATCACTCAAATGTCCCGCAAGCTTTTAAGAGTCATGCTTCAAAGGATTGGGTGATACCCAACAAATACCAGCATTTGTCGTTTGAACTTCTTGTCATGGCAATCGTTTTCTTTCAACTTTCTTGTAAAAAAAGGATGTAAATGTGATTGAATTTTTGGCTCCCTTAATTACAGGGCTCAGCTTATGAATTAAAATAGCCTTGAATGACTGAAATTGTGAGAGCAAATATAAACATTATCAAAAGGTAGCATTTATCACTTCAGTATATCTCTAATATTCAGTTGTAATGCATATTTTATAACAAAAATCAATCAACTTGAAAAGAAAAAAGAGGAAAAGCAAAAGAAAGGAAACACATTTATTAAGAACACATTTGTCATCTACAGTGAGTTTTTCTTACCTGTCAAAGGAGGATCTTCTTGATTTTTACTTGATACACTTTGAGCCTTGCTTCTTTCTGAAAATTGAAGATTCAATAATTTATATTTATTAATAAGGATATTAGTTTTAATTAAATTATAAATTTACAGCTATGAGTTATGGTAAAGTAGTAGTATAAAAGTGACTTACTTTGAATTTGAAGGCTCCTGATCCATTGTGAGGAGAGAATATCTGATAATAAATAAAAAGTATTCATCCTCCATTAGATTTGAATCTCTTTTAATAAGCCATTTTACAGTTGCGCACTTAGTCATCAAGTCTTTGATTTGGAGTGAGGCTGAAGGTGACCTTGTTGTGATAGAGACCAGTATCTAGTTAGCATGATAACAAAGTAATTAACATTTGAAAAGCAGTAAGGTTTGTATCATAACAAGATCACCCTTAGCCTCACTCCTATTCAAAAGCTTGGCAACCAAGCACACAACTATACAATGGACTATTAACCATGCTGCTATTGTTGAGATCAGGAAACAAATAATTTCCTTTGACAAATGAAACTTGTCTTTTGAGACACAAAAAAATATATTTTGGATAATAATTTCAACAATTAAAATGCCTTTTCATACAAGTAATTCACACCCTGAGGCTACATCAAATGTCTTTGATTTAGACTCTCAGATGTTTCTGCAAACAAGCTCCAACATGTATAAGTTCATTTTTCCATTGCGAACTGAATTCCTAGTTTTCTGGGAATTCCTTGAATTCCCCAAAATTCTGAACTATACAAATAAGCTCTGATTTGAAAAGCTTGGAATTACTGGGAATTTCTGGGAAAGGAAAACTCCAGTTTTGTGAGGACTTGGAATTCCTAGGAATTCTCAGCTATACAAACAACTAACAATTAAGGGTGGAATTCTTGAGAATTTCTAGGAATTGAATTTGAGGCAATTTAAATGCCCTGAAGTCCAAATAAATTCCAAGAAATTCTCAATATCTTGAATGCGAAGGTTTTAAGACAAGGAGTAATTTGAGAGACTTAAAACTTCCCTTGCGAACTGAATTCCCAGTTTTCTGGGAATTTCTGGGAATTCCTAGGAATTCTCAAAAATTCCCAACTATGCAAATTAACTCTGATTTAAAAAGCTTGGAATTACTGGGAATTTCTGGGAAAGGAAGACTCCAGTTTTGTGAGGACTTGGAATCCCTAGGAATTCCTAGGAATTCTCAGCTTTACAAACTACCTATAATTTAAGAAGTGTGGAACTCTTGGGAATTTCTGGGAATTGAATTTGAGGCAATTTTAGTACCCTGAGGTCCACATAAATTCTAAGAAATTCTCAATACCTTGAATGTGAAGGTTTTAAGAAAAAGAGTAATTTCAGAGGCTTAAAACTTTGGCTTAATAAAAGGTATGCTATACAAAACTTACCAAGAGATATACATACATGTACATGTTTATAACTTAAAGATCATGAAATTTATTACTCAAACTAAGTTTTAGTAAATCTTTACATTAATATGGATTTTCTCATGAACCAGCTGTCAGTTATGTTAAATGGAAATTGCCAACTTCCACAATAATTTACAATAATTACATTGTTATCTTACTTCCCTAACCTACATTACTGGTTGCCTTTGTTAGAAAACCTTGGAACAGTCAAGCTCAGTTGCCTCAAACGCTGTCAGAGACCTTTTGTTGACAATACTTTTAGTAGAAATTTCATGCCTTAGACAAACAAATTCAACACCTAATTAATCTTTCTTTCTTCATGATTGTTGTTGCTGCTTTTTTTTTCAGTTTTTTGCTCTATTTTCATGACTAATTGCTATAATTTGTTTTAAAAATTGCTGTTTTTATTCTTACAAAACATTTTTGTAAGAGTTCCAATACTTGTGGATCATCCACACACTTTGCAAACATTTGGCATGCAGACAAGACAGAGGTAATCAATGTTCCCTTTGAGGAAAAACACCTTTTATATGACGTCTTCAATTTACTTTATTTGAAACTCTGATCTGAAAATATTTGTCAACAAGACTTGTTAGTAGTGAGAAGTACCAACCAAGTTTCCTTTCATAACTTAATTTCTTAAATGTCCCAATCACTGGATCTCCCAAAAAAATATTACATCTTTTTATTTTTGGAGCAAATTACAAGTCCTTCTTTCTATAAAAATGAAAAGTGCTAGTCACACTTCAATAATAACAGCTCTTAAGTTTACTTGTTGTTCTTCTCTGTCTGTCAGCTATCAACAAAATTTTTTTATACTTCGGGCAGTGCATAACTATTTGTGGACCAGAGTTTCAACGCACCTCTGCAATCGCATATAGCTACTCCTGTCTCTTGTACAAATGTTTCTCCTTTGTAGGACGCACTCTACTCTGTTGTCAATACTGCTTTAAGTTCAGTGGAAACGACTGACTGAGGAATCGAGATGGCGATGTTGGAACGTGTTGCTGAACGCTTGCTACGGTCAAGCTTTGTAGATTTAGGTACTGGTACACTGGGATCATCTATGTATCTCTTATACTTCCGAATGTGGTATCCTTCTTTTATAAATATGAGGGTAAAAGACGATTTGTAGTCGCATTCAAAACTGTGATTGGCTTGTGTTATTTCTCACCTTTGCCATTAACACAACTCAAGTGAGT